GTGTGTGTGTGTGTGTGTGTGTGTGTGTGTGTGTGTGTGTGTGTGTGCGTGTACACTTTTGGCCTACTTTAGTTCTATTGGCTGAGCAGGTTGCATCAGTTCACCGGGTTATTTTACAGTTTTCAACCCTGTTTTCAACATGTTGCATTTAGATTATTAGTTAGATTTCATAAATTGAATTTGCTATTTTCCTAAACTTCCAGTTTCTTTTTCTTTTATATATCTTGAGACCCTTACAGATTTATCAATCCCATTGTGTCAATTTTAAATTAAATTATCTCCACGATCACATCAATGTGAGTAATACCTCTGTGATTAAACTGAAGTGCTGAATTACAACTAATCTGATAAAACTCAATCAATGAAATGTAATTAAACTATAACTGAAAACAAAAATCCAAGAAGAAAAAGATTTTATTAAACAATCATTCTAATCTATGAATGTTAAAATCAATTTCTCAAGTTCTGTGTTAACTGCAAAGCAAACTATAAATGTAAATGTAAAGCCTTATGCAAGGTGTTAATGCTATCATCTATTTATTAAATGATGTGAACTGAAAGGTATATTCACCTTGAATAGCATTCATACTTCATAGTTAATGCAGTGGAAAACAACATTAACCTGTTCAACTGCTGTTAACACGTTACGGAAGAAGCACACTGCCCCCCTGCTACACGAAACGACTGTGAGCTATAATCAATGTCTGTGTGATGAATATCTATGGCCCATAAAGCCACGTGTCATTCCAACAAGTCGTGTAAATGACATTTAACAAGCTCAGTGGTAAAGAGAGGAGTTGATGTCTGACTGACACACTGGCTTCCTCTGCATCAAATTATTGACTCTTGCTGTTGGCCAAAATATATTTCTGAGCTGCTGTTCTGACCAGACATCCAACCCTCTCATGTCGCCTGGGAGAGGTCTGCTTACTGTCCCCAGAGACAAAACTAAACACGGAGAAGCAGCATTCCGTTTGTGTGCACCACATACCTGCTACAGACTTGAGATCTGCTACAACTCTCGGGTCTTTTAAATCAGAGTTTAAGATTTTTTCGGTTTGCCGCTGCCATTATGAAATTAATTGGGATTTTTATATTTTTCACTGTACAGTTGCTGCACATTTGTAATAATCTATTTTATTCCATTTGAGCTTATCTCACTTTTTTAAAATCCTATTTATGTGTGTTTTTATATCGCCTTGTGTTTCTTGTGTATTCTAGTTTTAATGGCTTTTATGTCCTCTGTGTTGCCTTGTTGTTGAAAAAAGTAAAGTAAATAAACTTGCCTCAATTTACAGAAGTATGCTTCTAAAAAATGCATTTATGAACTACAGATCTGTATACCGTGTATTATACAAGCAATACACACTGCGATCCATTTAAAGAACATGCATAGGAGAGCCAAAAATACATTCTTCCTTTCTCACATCACTTTTATATGAAGCATTCAGGTATTCACAATGCCAATCAAACTTCAAAATGACAGCGGAAAATTTGGACGCCTTGCTTTGATTTGAGAACAATGGGACAAACTGACACTACCCTCCTAGCTGTGGTCTTTTTACTCCCTCTAGTGGTTAGCAAATGAAATGTGAAGAACAAATGTTTCAGAGTTTGCCGAAAATCAAAAAGCTAATTTCCCCTGATATCAAGTTAACACCTGATATTGGACAAATACAAATGTCATTATTCATTTATAAGTTCAATTTTGCCAAACAAAAGAGCAGCGATACATGAAAAACTTGCTCGCTGTTGTTACCTCAACCACAGCACTTTGGCATGTCTTTCCAATATTGCATGTGGAATTAATGACTCATCACTCATCCACATGATTGATGATATATTCTTTAACAATATGAATTTGAACAAAAAATGTACCCGCATTAGCTAACACCCGTCATTGACCTACCTATGTTTTTCCACAGCTCCTGTTGTGGAAACCCTGTTGCTGACGTACTGTATTGTTACTGTACCGTGTCCCTTCAGGCTGCAATGACACAAAGAGAAGAGACTTATGATATGACGTATGATGAGAGTCATAATTAAGTCATGAGTCATTATTTGAAGTTTGGATCTGTCCTAGGTTTCCAGCTAATGACACCGTGGCAGTATTTTAGATGAGACCCAATAATCTACATTATCATTGTCATTTTAGTACTAATTAAATTGATCACTATCTTCCTCCTCAGCAGTAAATGCTCTTGGATCAACACCAGCTCAATGTCAACCCTACTGTCCTCAAGTGGTACTGCAGACTGCCTGCTCGACTACAGCAAACAATAGGAAAGGCATTCAACACTGAGGAATGTCAATTCGTCATTTTATCTTTTATTTTATATCTATAGAAGCTATATGCTATAT